TTTGGAATCTGTTAAACCATGAATGCAAACGGTAAAAGAAAGTATCTATTTACTCAGTTTTTCACGGATAAAACCTTAGCGTAAATACCTTCAAAGATATTTTGGCTTCGCGGGGATGAGGGGGAGAGGGGGGGCGGGGGTGGGGAGGGTAGAGGTGATGGTCAGTACTTTTAAAATTTTACAATACATGATGTTTATGTATTTTTCTAACTGAAGTGCTCAATGTATTTTACTCAGTCCTTGCTACTTACCTTCTTAGACAGTGCCTCAACCATCACCAGTTATACGGCTCTTGAAAACCAAACACCCACAGTTAATGTGAGCCAGATTCAAGCCACAGTTACTGTGGGTAATAACTCGGTCTCAATCTCCTCGTCGCAATGGCTGCCATCACACTGCCACCGAGTCTGCGTTTGCAACAGCTCCGAGGGTGAGTAAACAACAGTAACAATTAGCGCAACATCATCATCATTAATATCTACAGGTCAATGAAACGAGAACAGCCTTAATCGTTTTACTGTGTTACACCTTTAACCAGGTCACTTACCTACTGAGAAGAAAACCGAGAAATCAAAGTATTAAAGAGATTCGAATGCTTCTATCCAGACTCAAGTAGCCGTGACATGCAGGTCATGACCTTCTTTATCTCTAAACCATGGGATAAAGGGAATTGTTATTATATTAAAATGCTTGGTCAAAACGTTTCCATAATTCTAAAATGAGAAACCACTATTCTCTCTGTGTTAATTTCGTTGTCGATCATACACAAATAATCTGAAGAATACAAAAGCAAAAACCGACACAACGTAGGATGATTTTTTGAAGGTGTACTATATTTCGGCTGGCCAAACCAGCCTTCTTCAGGTACAATGGAAAATTTTACATTGGTACGTGTTTTTATGTAGCCGATATTTACGTAATACCGGAAATACGCAAAAGTAATTAATAGTGTAAATTAAGGATAAGCATACGGTAAAATAAAATAACATGATAAAAGAACATAATAAAAGAAAACAAATGGAAACAATTTTTATGTTTCTTCGCGGATGTTCAGACCATTAGGATCAATTGT